TCCAAATCCAACGCCCATAGTCCTGACTCTTTGAGTCTCGACTGGCAAAACTGTTACAAGCCTTTTTTTCCTTTTATTTGACTCACATTCTCAATTAGGCCGGAGAAGGAAAACGACCCATCACCCATCAGGAGGTAAACCCGCCAGTCACCAATCCTCTTTGCAATGCCTTGCGAGATGGGTGTGGTACTCGTTCATTTTGCATGCTTCCACCCAATCACATTCAACAAGTTAGCTACCCAAGCTCACCCACCAGTTACTATAACCTACCACTCCTTTGATTATAAACCAAAACTTTCATTCATTGGAGGAGAAAGTTACAAGACCAAGCTAGAAAATAGTAAGCAAAAGTATAATTTCTTCAACACTTTTCAAAATCTCCCCCATTTTTCCCCTACCAAACTCTATCTTTCTTAGACATTCATTCGACCTGTCAATGTGTCTTGTACCACAAAAAGGGACAGTGTTGAAGCTACATTAGATCAATCAAGAAATTCTATCTTTGGAATGTCTTGTCATTACACCACTAATTGTGGGGGAGTTTCAACTCCTAAAGATTTAGTCTGACCCTTAATCGAAAGCCCAACTTATATAATTTTTGACCAATTCCCTCCTCATTTGTCCATAAAGTTGAGCTGAGATTAATATCGTTTTTCCCTTTCTTTGGACCTTTTTGGAATATTAAATTGCCAGTATTCCCTATTCGGCTAGTAATTGTTCTTGCTTTTAGATTATTTTTTGCTTAATTCTTTTCTTAATGACGACTGCATTACTCATAAACCATGTAATTAGACAACTTTATTGAAGTTAAAAAAATTGATTTTCTTTCATCACAATGATTATTAACATCATTTTTTCTGTAGAGAATAGTAATCACAACGTTTTTGAATACCCATTTGGTAGTTCATTAGTCACTTTAAGGTGTGCCTTATGGACTTTCATGTCATAATGATGCGCATGTACTTTTGATGTTTACATTGTTTGACGCCACATGTAAATTTAGGTTAAATTTAAAGATTTGACTAACAAGTGCTCTAAAACTAATTCTTAAATTGTTACTTCAAATAAAGAAAGATCTAGACTTGAAGCCACTAGAGAGTTGGAATAATGAAATCGATCTAGACTTTATATTTTATCTTTCGAATTAATTAATCTTTACATATATTCGTCGACATTGATATTAAAAATTGCATTTCAAAATTCTAATGATAAATTAATTGAATATGATGAACTCATCATTTGAACTTAAATCACCTCTGAAACAGCTTGTCTTCAGGTGGACTTAATTATGTATAATTCATATGCGAATTAGTGAATTTTTTTTCTTTCTTTTTTGTCTCTTTTTTGTACATCGTCTTGATTCACATGTTCCCACTTAATTGCTAGTGGAAACTGTGAAAGGAACAAAAAATCATTTAATAAAGGAGAAACTTCACCATCATGCAATGAATACATAACAAGTATATGTATATAAGAAGAAAAAAAAGAAAGCAGAGAATGTGTAATGAAAGTTGTGGAAGGAACTATTGTAATAATGTGAACATGTTGAAGCTATGGTCGTTGAAGCGATCATGAACTTACAACTGCTACAGTTACGGCTGAGCGTAAACCAGACAGCCCCAACTCTACAAGCAATGCCCGTACCCGCAGCTACCTTACCTCATTGAGTATTAACTGCCACCTGCTTTATACCTAATAAAATTAATGATTTAGAAGTCAAGACTTCACCACTGCTTTTCTTATCCCTAAAACACATGCAAATGCAAGCTTTGATGAGTCATGACCTGCAAAAATATCTTCTTTTAGGGTTTATCGACCCATGTGTCGATGTGGATTCTCGAGATGCCAGAACTTTTACGTAGTTGAGTATATATATAGAGAGAGAGAAGTTGAATTGATTCGAATGCTGGGGGATTACTGAGCAAACTCCAAATGTGTGGTGGTGAAACGGTGACGACCTTGCATTGCATGCCATATTTCACACACACGTTTTAGCAAAGTTTGGTTCCCTATCACTTTTTTTCTTTCCTTACAGGGAAAGTATGTGTCGATTATGCACGTACACACATAATAGTATATACAGGTTAATACAAAGAACAAAACAAAATTGATTCTCATGCCTTGCAAGTCATTCTATAATTTCCCTCTGATTTTTCAACGCTAATTGGCAAAACGGACGTGCTGTCCTCGTGAATGAATTTTACATCGGTATGCGGCCACCCTTTCATAATCAAATAATTAAAATATAATAGTTTTGACATATTAAGGTTATAACGTATTTTAATATTTGAGTTTATTATATATATATATATATATATATTCAAAAAGTCATGAATATTGATTTTTTTTAAGGAAAAAAAATTGATGTGTATATATATTTTAACTATGTCATTTAAATTAATTAATTGAACAATCATACATGATTAATTCATATGACTCCTTTTAAATTAAGTAACAAAACCTTTCGCCTGAAAAAAATTCACAAAGATTTTGAAGTAGGTGTCAAATACTAATTATTTAAAAATTTATAATTTAATGATTAATTTATATGATAAGAACATAAGATTACAAAGCAGCTGGGGTTTTGTGCTTGGATACGTAATGAAGTCCAAAGTTGAGATATAGAGGAAAAGGGTCCACATTGAACTGTACCACCTAAGCCAAGAGATACAAGTCAATAACCAAGAAATTTGAACATTAACTACCCAATCCACTCATCTTATTATATATTATATAGTATGTGTATACAAATTGCCATTATCGACAAGAAAATGCATGCATCATAAAGTTATGGTGTTGAATTAAACTTTGACATGGCGATTACTTAGGCAGGACACTTGTAACAAATAAAACCAATTTAGGATGACAAACTTGGGTCATCTAATATTAATAAATCTAAACCCTCCGATGAGGGTTATCTGAACCACGATCAAGGGCTAAGGATCTAGTTCTTTAACCAATAAGCAAATCTAGTATAAATGGAACTTGATGGAACAATCTAGAAATGCAATACGTGTCTTCCAGGACATAATGGTACGTATAATTGTTAACATAGTTATACACCCTCCGTGTCAAAGATACCTTTGCTTGTGTTCTGTTTTATTAAGATGGGCAAAGGCTTGACCAGGACAGTGGGTAAAAGAATCCAACCAAACTAAACAGGAGGATTAAATTTAAGGAGAAATTAAGGTTTTTGAAACAGATACAATTGCTAATCTAGCATATAATCCATATAATATTTTATTCTTACATGTGACAATCATGTAATATGAATGCAATTATGCATATGGGATCAATAATTAAATTTTTTAAAAAACCTATAGATCATTAATCAAAGAACTTCGGGGTTTAAACAATTATATGGATGCTTAATTAATGAAGGGAACATGAGTAATACTTTGTGGATTGCATTAACAGGTCATTAACCCTGTTTCTTATCAAGCATTGGTTTGCTAATCATCGCAGGACTTAGAAGAAAAGTTGAATTAGCAAGTTGTTAATCATGACTTAGAACACGGAGATGGGGGAAGCAACGACTTTTTTCAAGTTGTTTGTTAATGACTCCTGCGCTTTGACAAGGGAAGCAACTCATCCTGTGGATGTCGAAATCTAGGGTTTCTTCCCAAGTGTAACTTAGTATTACTTAACAAAACACGAAAGAAAACCGCACCACATCTTCATTTGATGAGGAATGAGTTTGATGAAAATGATAAAAGAGCGGCATGACATAATTGTCCTTCTTATAGTAATCATGAAGTTTTCCCTCCATTCAACGGAGGTGAAGTATGGGTTCAAGACTAGAAATCATTAAATGAATACTTGCTTTCTACCCTCTATGTGAAAAGTAAAAGGAAAGTTTGAAAATATGGGTTATTGCTAACTATTTATTTAACGACACGGAAAGACTGCATTTATGACATGGGACTCTAGGTGATATTTTGAAGAAAAAAAAATGAACATTTTCATGTTCAACATAATAATCAGTGTGAATGTGATGATTTTTTTTTATATTAGATAAGAGTATTATTTTCAAAACAAAAATAACCTTTTTAAGTAATATTACGAGGTTTGAACAAATTCCTAATTCAGTATATCTAAAAAATTTTAATTAGTTCTAATTTCAATAAACTTTTGAAGAAGGGAATTCTGTATTTTTAACCAATCTGAGTTAAAAATTCTGTAAGGTTTAGCAAAAAATTACTATATATTAAATTAATAAAATCTTAACTCTTTACAATTACACCATCTGTAAAACTTTATTTATTTACTATTTATAACCTTTAATTAGGTGTGCCTAACATGAGATGATCAGTAAAAATTTATAGTATAATAAGATAGGAAGGGAAATAATGATTAATGAATGGTGGTTTTATGTGTATCAGTATTTTGTTAGGAAAAAAAAAGTAGGATCACTTTGCAAAAAAAAAAAACTCACACAAAAAATGATTAGGTGGGCAGTAGTATTAATTTCATAATTTGGTCACATTAAACAGAATCCACCCAATATCAAAAGGCTAATAATCTCTTAAGTAAACTGAAAACTCTAGTCATTAGAAACGCCTGTAAAAATTTCTACTGCGATTAAGGTACACGTAAACGTGGTGATGACGAAATGGGTGATGGAATGGTTGAGTAAGAGTGCAATGAGGGAGAGTGGGGTTGTGTAGGAAAATGGGAAGATAAATATTTTTGGAATGCTTAGATGTAGCCATGTCTTTGGGTCACCCATCAATCCACTCTCCTCTCTCACTCTTTTGTGTGTCTACTCACACCAGAACACCCCATTTTAGTTCCAACATCGCTTTCGTAAACCAATGGTGGACCCTGGAATCTCCTCCTCTCATCTCTCTGTAAAATGTAAATTATATATATATATATATACACACACATAAATATGACTTAGAATATAAATATATATATATATATATATATTACATAATCTCTATTTTAGTATTTATATATATCAGCCTTTGAAAGCTGCTGAAGGACTTTATATAAAGGTGGGTGTGGGGCTTTTGGGTCTTTACAGGTAGAGAATTGGTGAGACTAATTACTTGTTATTATTGATACTTAGTTTGTGTTTAGTGGGACTAAGTGATGGGTAGGCAGCCTTGCTGTGACAAGCTTGGTGTGAAAAAAGGGCCATGGACAGCTGAGGAAGACAAGAAACTCATCAACTTCATTCTTACCAACGGCCAGTGTTGCTGGCGTGCTGTTCCTAAGCTCGCTGGCCTCCGCCGCTGCGGCAAGAGCTGCCGGCTTCGGTGGACTAATTATCTTCGGCCTGACTTGAAGAGAGGCCTTCTTTCTGAGGCTGAGGAACAGTTGGTTATTGACCTTCATGCCCGTCTTGGCAATAGGTTCATTAATTAGACTCTCTTTTCTGTGTTAATCATGCGTTTATTGTACTGCATTTTGTGATTGCTTGGAGCAGTTTTAAGTGATAATCATTAGATTATGGTTTATTTGCTTTTGTTTTGAGACAGAAGGTTGCATATATATATCATCGTCTTGTTTTCTTGTCTTGGGTCATGGAGGTTGATGAAGAAGCTGTTATGCATTTTAAAATGTAATGTCTTTCACAGATAAACCTTATCCTTAAAGCATTTGAAAGGGAGAATCTAAAATTTTTCTTGTTTTGCTAAGGAAATGATAAGTTTCCAATTGCAATTAATGATCATGAAATTTAAACCAATAGTTCTCGAGAGCACACTGATAAATTTTTAAAGTTTGCAGTTGCAGAAAAGTCTTCCCCAAGAACTACTACTAGTTTTGATTGTCAGTTTTTGTAAAGTTAAACAAGAATACGATTCTGGTTTCATAGCTTATTGGTTCCTTATTGTTCACTGTCATCCAGTTCGGCAAGCTCTCAAATAAAGAATACATTGTTTTATGTAGTTGCTTCAGCTACTTGCTTGCTTGAAATTCAAGTGTTTGACATTGCAAGGGAGTTTTAAAATAAACTTATTACTTTAGAAGTTTGTCGTTGGAATTTGATTTGTTGGTGGGTTTTGATGTCTTCATATTGAGGATTAAACTTGATGCTGGTTAATGTTCTTTATCAGGTGGTCGAAGATTGCAGCCAGATTGCCAGGCAGAACTGACAATGAGATCAAGAATCACTGGAACACCCACATCAAGAAAAAGCTTCTTAAAATGGGAATTGACCCTGTCACTCACGAACCCTTGAACAAAGAAGCTAAGGCTGAAGAAAGTTCTTCCCATGCTGATCATTCTGCAGATAATCAAAATACTACAGAAAATGATGGCATCGTCAACTCATCAGAGGATAATTCGAGTACACCAACTGAGAATTGCTCTAGTACTACCGATGATTCCAATTTGTTAGACAGCATTTGCAATGATGAATCTTTATTGACTAGCTTATTATGGATGGATGAACCTCCCCTAGTTGATGCTTCATGGAACAGTGTCCCAGCAGGAGAAACAGCTTGTAATGGCACAAGCTTGCCATCTTGGGAGGACGACTGCGCATGGTTGCCAGACTGTCAGGATTTTGGTATTCATGACTTTGGATTCGACTGCCTCAACGACATTGAATTAAACACGATGAACACGTTAGAGATGGGCGACAAAACAGTAGCTTGATCATGCACCATAGTTGAAGTTCTGAGTAAAAAAATTCAACAATACTTAAAGCTTCAAATTAAGGTGCATATGTTACCAAGTTTTATGTCTAGTTAATTTTTAGGTCCTCAGTGTTGATGCTATCTTCCTGTATTTGGGAATATTGTTGGAAGGTCGAAGGTAAACCTCGCTTCTTCAGAGGTTTCTCACCTACCAATTCAAAAGTGACACCAACCCTCATATCCGCAAGATATGATATCTCTTTGTGCATGCCTTGCAAATATTGTAAATCTTCTGTAAAAGACAGGGAAACAATTATTATTCAGCCAAAGAAACAAGGGAAGACAGGGACATAATGGGCATGATAAAAGTGCTAGTGAGTTTTGTGACCGTGAAACCTCTTGTATATATTTATATGCAAATAAAGGTAAAAGAACATTGCTTACTTTGTTGTAATTTAAGTTTCTTAAGAAAATTCTGTTGTTTCCTCTCATGCTTACCTGCTGATCTCCTCAACGTTGATTATGATTTGCGGCCAAATTAAATATATAGTATATCCATCTTAATTTAATTTAGTCCTATAATTTTGATGGCAGAAGCATTTAGTTTGACAAGAATTTCTTTCCGATCCTATTTCTACAATGGAGTACAAGAAAAGAACAAATAAAGAAATCATTAAGTTAAACTTTCAAGTACAAGAAGAGAAGAGCACATTAATCTAGTTTATACCAGCAGTAGCACTACTGTCGCTTAACAGTTAAACTCTTTTAAGTGCAAATGCCATATCACTCAAAATTTAATAGCTTTTTGGAGCAAGAGGACCACTGTTCCAACCACCTGCTAATGGCTGTAAGATATTGCCTCACTATTGTAGCTTGATCTTTGTGCAATTCGGTCGGATCATTCAACAAGTGGCGCTAGGCATCCATAATTTAAGCAGATGACATAATTTGGTTGAGCACACTCTCCATTAATGCTTTTTTGGAATGTACTTTACACCTTGTCACCATTCATGGGAGCTTCAGGAAATTAAACAAATGTTCTAAGCAGGCTGTCAGCGCTGATTAGTTTAATGCCACTTCCAAGCAATAACTTGATCATGCTGTTTCTCTCACTTGATATATAGCCATTAGCTGCGGTTCTTAGTGCTTCTAATCATGTGTTTCTGAAGGCAATTATTATTCAATCCACTGTATTAACCTAACACTGCGAATTATAGTATACCTTTCTTGAGGAAGGATTAACTTATTAGGGCGGAGAGGGGGGGGGGTGCAAAAGGGTCATATATATGGAATTTCTTTATGTTTTTCATTGAACCGAATATTTTAATTATGTCCCTTTGACATTGCCTTGGCAGAGATGAAATCATTTTTCAGAATTTGAAGAAATGAAATCTTTTATCATTATCCTCCTGAATTAAAAAACAATTCTTTGTTAATTGTTCCTGGGGAAAAGCTTGAGTCACATTGTACAACAATTCACTATGATTGTGCTGAGTGCAGACAAAATCACAGATATAAACGTCCTTTTAGCGTTGCTGAAGAATGAATGCCATAGCCTTGTCTCTTGAAAACCAATAAATTATAAATAAAACATTTAACCTTTATTTCTATCACCAATGGAAAAATAATTGAATTAACAAAGTCCACAAGATGTTATGTCACCATGAGCTTGATGTAGAAGATTTGCGGTGATCAGCAACAAGTTAATCTAATCAATTGAAAATATTGACGAGTTTGTGACTTCTGATAAGACCTTAAATTCAACCAGAAGTATTCATCAAGACTAAAAAGGTTGATAATGAGTTGCTTTAGATCACATTCTCTGCTGATGAACTGATCGAAGACCTCAAGAAACAATTAAAATAATATACTGCTTTTGATATTATGTAAAACAATATTTAATTAAATAAGTGTGATTTGCAAGCATTTGTTATCTAGTTAATCACATAATACAGAGGCTCTATAATCATGATTTTTCTTTGGACACAAGTTAAGGATGATGTTTCCTTGCAATTATCCATCAAGGAACAGAGCTGGACATTTGCAAGTAATTCATATATCAGTTATAACAAATTGAAATTAAAGCAAAAAAAAAAAAAAAAGCTCCTGGGATTATTCTCCTGACATAAAGATATTATTATCCGAGCAAAAGTTTAGTAATGCAGTCATAGTATAAAATTTCTTGTACGATATAGTAAGGAATTACTTAACAGAAACCACTGACCATGACTTGTAATTCCATTGAAGAAGAGAAAGGGACAAATGGTCCCTGGAAAGTATTAACAATATTCGAAGGAATTAAAAAGGAAGAATGGATAGGTCTGCAAAAAGAAGTGGACGGATGGGAGACCCTACACCTAAGATTCTCCAGCCACATTACTCCTACGGTGACCTGACCTGACCTGATCTGACCTGACCTCTCCCAAAGATAAAAGATTGTGGCTGCAAAGTGGAATGCTCAATCATTTGGGCACTTTGTGGTTAAGTTTGAATTCAAATTGAGTCATGTTCTTTAAACATTACTCCAAGATGCTGCAGCTTTTCAAGTGTTTGTTTGAACACTGAAAAAGAGTGTCCACTTTGTAAGATAAGTAGGAAATGCGTCCCATTTTTCTCCAATGATATGCATTTGCCATCTAAAGCAAAAGGTATTGGGCACCACGGCCTTGATTTGGTATACTTATGCAGACACTTTTGCTTCTGTGGGAAAAAGGTTCTGCCCAGTGCCAAGCATTCTCAGAAGATGGGCGCATCTCAAATAAAGCAACAAATGCTAGAATGTTGTCAAACAAGGCATCAAGACGTATGTTTCAATCCGAGACCGCGCTAAGGAAAATTGTTGAGGATGCAATGATGACTTTCTCATTGGTCTTGCCCTCGTTGATAATAAAGGATGGCAATGCGTGAGCCCTGAGGTCACAGATTCACATGGATTCTTGATGCTTTTTTTAACTCACAAAAAAATGGGTTTCCCACGATGACAATTTGAATGCTTTTTGCATAAAAGAATCAAGAATGCCCTTCTACACTATCCATTCTTTGAATTTGGTCTTAGATGATGAAATTTTAAATATTTTTTTAAAATAATTAAAATGCATTTTATATTCTCAAAATGTGATATCGAGATCTTATCTCAATGATACAAATGAGATTTTGAAATCCATCAAATTCAAATTCATTCAGTTTTATATTAATTTTTTAATTTCTTCTTCCATGTAACATTATATTCTATTAAATTAATGTAATTTCTATTTATACATATAATCTCATAAAAAAAGTGCTAATGTGTTCAACTATATAGAATTTTTTTTATTCATAGTCTTATGTCGAGAAAGTGAGTGAATTATGTAACATTCTACTACATACATAAATAAAAAAAATAGTACGATTTTCTTAAGATTGGATGGTGTCAGTACGATTAAATTAAATTTTCATTAGAAGGCAGAGACTATTAATTTTTGATTAAATGTTTAAATTGGAACTAAACGTTCGAATACTTTTTTAATTAAAGGTCAAACGTTTCAATTTCTTATAATTAAGGGTTAAGTAAACAAGTGGATGGAGCATCTATCACACACGACACAAACTTGCGTTGAAAATGTAATTATTACATATTATATTAAAAATTTAGTTATTATACGTCATGTTGAAAAATGTAATTAATTTAATTGTTATACATCATATTAAAAAATATAATTGTTACATATCATATTTAAAATTTAATTGTTATATGTTATGTTAAAAAATATAGTTATTACATGTAATATTGAAAAATGTAGTTATTATACACTATATTAAAGATTTAGTTGTTATACGTTATATTAAAAAATATAATTCTTATATGTTATGTTAAATATTTAATTATTATATGTCATGAAAGAAAAACTATTATACGTCATGTTATAATTTGAGCCATCTTGACTTAATAAAAAAGACTTTATGATAAAACTACTTTTTTATATTTCACCTTTTTAAGTCAGCATCCACATCATGCATGAATTTTATATGGGTTAGACATTTCTCATCTTAACTCCTAATTATAAAAAATTAAAAATATTTAACTTTGATTACTATAATTAAAATATTTAATTATAAATTGACAAAAATTCATAAATTTTGACCCAAAATTTACTGATCTCAAACTTTGAAGGACATCTTTCGCAAATTGGGCAGCATCGAGATTTAAAGTTGAGGGTGTTTTGATTGGATTGAGCTTTCAGTTGAGGCTAAAATTGAGGCCCATGTTGACCAACTGTAGGCAAATGGACCATCAGAAAAGAGGCAAACGAAGAGAAACCCAGCCCAGAAGAAAGGACCTTCTCTCTCCTAAGTTATAGGGTTTACGAAGAACCTCGATTTCAGTCTCTCTTCTTCCACATCTCCGGCAATAACCAAAAACTTTTGGATCAAACCGCACCGTTTTCAATCCATCCTAAACTGCGGAACCACTCTTCCATCTGTTGGGTTTTGCGCAGATCGAGTTTCAGGTAAGAATTAATGGCTTAGTTTGGCAATAATCAACAGTTCCTTGTTTTATTCCTCTCTTCATGATTCTTCCATTTTGGATCTTTCCCTTATTGTATTTGCTCTCTTTTATTTTTGCATGTTTTTTCGTTTGGAATATTTGGGAGGATCATAGAGTAAATTTGGTCAATGAATTAGTTTTGGAATTGGGTCTTGTCTTCCAAGCAATTGTATGAATTGGGATGATAAATTTACAAATAGGTTTGGGTCTTGTTGTCTTCGTTGTGTCTGAATGTCATATGTTCTTGCGTTTGATTAGTTAGAGTATTTGAGTGGCATAGGAATCCTGCATTTCCTGGTCTCAAATTGTACAATGTGCTTGTCAATGGTCTCTCTAATCTTCAAATTCTTGACTAGAATAGAGCCCGTGTTTTGTTATCGGTATTTGTTTGCAATTACGCTATAGTGACCTGAGCGCTCATAGGTTTCATATTATTCCGACCATGAGGAAGAATGGATTTTTGGGTACTTTGTTATGGGATAGATGAAATTTGTTTGGCTTTCTATGTTGTTCTTTCGAACTTATATATGCTCTGGCCTCTAGCTGAGTATATGTGTGTTTCTGTGCTATTTTAGGCCCTCACTAGTTGTGTGTTTTGTTGACTAATGTTTTGAGTTAGTGTCCTGATGAAAGAACTTGCTTATGGAAAGTGTAGCATTATCGGAATTGCTGTGCTATGTTTCTAATCCACTGCATTTTCTTTGTTGATATTATCAGGTGTTTTGTCTTTGGTTGGTTGGTTGGTTGCAGCATGGGTGATTTTTCAATCCAGATTAGCACCAACCTTATCAACCGACTCACTGAAGATGATGAGAAGTTGAAGAGAAGGACAAAGAAAACTAAAACCAGGGTGCCACAAGGGCCTAGACGGCCAGAAGCGAAGATAGATCAGAAGCAAATATCTGATGATTCTGAAAAACAGAAACGCACTACAGGCACAGGATGGCCAGTTCCGCCTCCCTTATTTCTGCCTGTAAACCAGCCTCCTTACCCTGCAAGTACAGAGTTAGATGCAATTCGATCTGTTGTTAAAGAGAGTGAGAGTGTTGTAGAAAAGTTGAGGAAGCAGGAGGAGAACATGGTACAGGAAGTGACACAAAAAGCTAAGGATCTTCATGAAAAGGAGTTCAAGCTTCCAGACCCTAAGCCTATACCTTGTTTGGTTGAGAATAATGCTTGGATGGCATGCTACAAGCAGAATGCTACTGATCTTACTAAATGTGCTCCTCTGGCACAAAATTTTGCAGACTGTGCTCGCAGAGTTAGGCAGCTGGCAAAATCAGCTGATAAGTAGATTTCCATAGGGATAAATTTTCAAGTCATACAAAGAGTGCAAGCCACTTGCCAGTTTGAGTGGAAACTTGAATTTTGGCTTATGCAAATAAACAGCAGAAAAAAGAGAAAACTAAATTGTTTATCACCCTTATTGGGTTACATTTTGTGTCCTTTGGCCTTTGTCTTCTGATTTTGTTAAATCTTCTGCTTTTCTCTAAACTCTTTGTTAGTTCATAAATTCAAAGTGACATGATTTTCCACCATTTGTAATTTGAATTGTCTCATCCTTTGCAAACGTTAATTACACGGTTCATTATGTAGCTGTAAATCTTATGGTTTAATAATTAGCATTTTGACCGTTTTGGTATTTTGCGCATGAATGAATCATGGTTATAAGTATTAAACTACTAATTATCTTTAAAAATCATCTTAGCCCTTAAAAACAATCTTTTCTTCTATTAAACTCTTCGTTTTTGATAAAAGAGGTTCAATCTAAACGGTAAACTGATGAATGGAAAAATTAGAAAGATTGAAAGGACTTGTGGTGCTGCAGTGCAAATGCAATAGGCACTCTCCAAGTAGCCAAAAGCCAGGAACGCGCCATCACCTAGAGGATAGTCACGCAGGGTTCACGTGATGAAGCGTAGACGATTTCCAGTTTTCCACGCCTACTCCTTTGCAAGCGCGTCTGGCGAGGACCACTAATTTATCGCCGTTGTTTTTCATTTCCTCGCTTCCTTCCGTATCCCTCCAAATCGCCGATCCAAACTTCCCCAGATTCCGAGCACTCCTCCTTTTTATTTTCTCGCTCCAAATTTTCCTTAGATCCCTTAAAAATCCAGGTACCTCCTCTCTCTCTCTCTCTCCCTCTTATATCATGTTTTTTTTGGGAGTTTTGAGGTTTCATTTCAGCTTGTTTATTACATGAAGTTTTTAAGTTTAGCCAGTTAGTCATTTTTCTTGTTTGGAAAGGTTCTTTATTAGAATGAATGAGTGATGATTTACTAGGAAGCAGACTGTTACTTAAAGAAAGGTAGTAAATTTGGTGTTAATATTACTATTTTCTTAAAGAGCTAAGAGCTGTTGTTGTGTGTTGGGAATTACCATGAAAGGAAACAAAATTAAGAAAGAGAGAGGGATTCGGAAACCCATTTTCAAAGTTAAAAAGAAGAATGCAAACTTGTATCAAATATCATTTCATTAGTGCCTGCTGGTTATGGAGAAACAATGGAGTAGGATTAAGATGGTACATTGTTGCAGCAATTCATAACGTTATTAGCTGAGTTGATGCGCTGCTGTAGACGTATTACTATTCTGGAAGATATATATTACCAGTTACATTGCTGACCCTCATTCCCTTATTCGTTTGTAAATATAAGATTTTATGAAATTCAATTAGGTCATGATGCTTCTGTTTACAAGCTTAACGGGGAAAATGTTGGAATAGTAAAGAAGCTCGTCATGTAATAAAGGGTTCTATTAACAATTTATAACTTTGCCAATCATTTGGTCTATTTTGTTAATGAAGCACAGATATCATAACAAATCCTGCAACCTCTTTCTTGATAAATGAAAATGCGTTGGTATTTAATCTCTTGATTTGGGGTCATTTCCATATAGCAAAACAGTTTTCTAGATGATCAGTGCTTATACAACCTGAGGGATTTATTTAATCTTTATTCATGTTGGTTGCTTACTAAAATTCAATTTTAAATGTA